CACACACACACACACACACACACACACACACACACACACACATACACACGTGCATGTATCTATGATTTGAAATGTGCATGTAAATATATTTGTGTATACACACAGACACATATGTTCACACATGTACATCAATTCATTTGATTCTTGCAACTCAATCCCTATGAAATAGGTTCTATTCTTATTATTGTATTTACACATGAGAAAACCAAGACCCTGAGTAGTTAGGTTGCTTGGCCATAGTCATATAACCAGGAAATAGTGGAATTTGGGATTTGAAACCTGAACAATGTGGCTTCAAAGTCTATACTTTTAACCATAATACCAGAAAAAATATCCTGTATCAAACCCACCCTAAATCACTCCATCTACAAATACAGGAAATGAAAATATAACAAAATGTTCAGTGACAATCATCTACCACGGCAAATATGGTATCCCCTGTGCTAAATGTACAAACATAGTCAGAACTAAGGTATGTCAGATATGGTAGATGCCAAAGCAAGATGTAGCAATCCACTCTCAGCTGCTACCCAATCCTTAAGACAAGAAAGAGACAGGAGGGTAGGATGGTGCTGGGTATGATGGCATACACCTTTAATCTCAGTGACTTGGGAGGCTGAGGCAGGAAGATCACAAGTTCGAGGCCAACCTCAGTGGCTTAGCTAAACCCTCTATCAAAATAAAAAATAGAAAGGACTGGGCAGAGGTTTCAGGGGGTCGGGGGATGTAGCTCGGTGGTAAAGTATGCCTGGGTTCAAACCCTAGTACCAACAAAAAAAAGAAAAAAGAAAAAAGTAGTATGGTAACGTCCACTACAAAATCATAGTTAACTAATTGCACAAAGATAGTTGTACAGCACCTACAGCTAATAGGGAGATTTTAAAAAGAAATTGGCCAGGTGTGTGGTGCACACCTGTAAACCCAGCAGCTCAGGAGGCTGAGGCAGGAGGATCATGAGTTCGAAGCCAGCCTCAGCAACTCAGTGAGACCCTGTCCCTAAATAAAATTCAAAATAGGGCTGAGGATGTGGCTCAGTGGTTGAGTGCCCCAGAGTTTAATCCCCAATATCCCCCTTCCCCGGGGGGGGGGGAGAAACTGGAGGAGTGGAAGGGAATTGGGCCAGCTTCTGGAATTGACAAGTAGCAAAGTAGTATTGTTTTTCACTTTGTAATGTTCAGTAAAAGATATTCAACTCTGACCTTCTCTATTGGTCTTGGAGCACAGATAAACCACATAAAGGGAAGCTGTCCTGGTTCCATTCCACAAAGAGACGAATTCAAAGAAATACAGTGGAAACGTGTGCCGGTTATTTGCTTCTTTGCTCTCATCTATTCCTGACCTTTTCCCTGCCCTGCTGTGTTTCAGAGAGAATTGTATTTGGCAGCTTCGTTGGCCCTCTGACTTCTGGTATGTTTAGCAAAACTGGAGGAGAGGGAGCCTGGGAGAAGCCAGAATGCTGCTTCTCATAGCTTCCATTTCAAGTGGCTGCATTTCCACTGAGCCTCCAGCTCCCAGCAGTCAGTCCCTCCCTCTGTGCCAAGAGCTCCTGCTGGCCAGTAACCATAGTAGTTCTGGATCTTGCCAAAGGTCCTGGCTGTTGAGCTGGAGTTTCATTGCCTCCCGCCTCCTTGAAGTTCCCCTCTAACCCTGAGGGTGGTAACCATTTCCTGTTGTTTATCTTAATGTTGCCCCTGCATGCTCTGTTGGGATTCTCCATTTTTCCATCATGCATACAACAATTTCCTGGTATGAAATTCCCTCTGTTGAAATACAGTGGTTTCCTGTTCTTCTAACTGGACTTTGAAACAAAAGTGATTCAGATGTGTACTCATTTTCTCATGTAATTTAAGAATTGAAGCATATATGCCTAACGAGCAATAAACACCCTTAAAAATTTGTTCTCCAAACTCATCTTCTGCCATTCTCAAACTCCTCTACAGGGATGACTGCCCTTCCACCAGCTCTTTGAAATAAAACGAAGTCTTCTCTTTAGTACCTCTTCTTGTTTTTTTATTTTTTCTTCTGTGTCCCTGCCTAATGCTTCATCTTTCTTTGTCCTATCTAAATATTCAAGCTTTTCCCCCAGTTTTTCATCTACCTTCTGAAGCTTATATTATTTGGAGAAAACAACAAGAACAAGACCATGTTATAGTAGGAAATAGTGTTCCCTATTATATATATAAACCTATTTCTTCAGCTCGGGAGGGTGAAGCAGGAGGATCCTGAGTTCAAAGCCAGCCTCGGCAACTTATGGAGGTCCTAAGCAACTCAGCGAGACACTGTCTCTAAATAACATATTAAAAAAGGGCTTAGGATTTGGCTCTGTGGTTAAGCGCACTTGGGTTCAATCCCCAGCACAAAAATAAATAAATAAATAAACTATTTCCTAAACATTTTTCCCACTCCATTTCCTGTCCTCTGCAATTTCAGAAGAAACTTCAAAAAAGAAAGGTTCTTTTTCATGGGTAATCAACCATTCCCTCCTATGGCTTTTTTTTCTTTCATGAATGTTATCACAGGGCTGCGAGCAGTGATTTCCTGGGAGTCTTAAGAAGCTCAATTGGTTCACAGGTGGAAGAAGAGAGATCAGTTGCAATGAAGAGGAAAATCCTTCTTTGGAAAGTAACTTCCCTTTTGAGAACACTGTGTAAGGAAAATGTACTGTGCTCTGCTCTTAGAAAGGCAGGAAGGTTTATAAAGGAACAACAGGATGCGTTGACTGGCATTGACTAGACAAGGAGATGAAGAAACTTGAACTTCAAGCAGTAGCTAAGGCTTACTTTCTCCCAGTCACTTTGATTTCCATTGTATCCTAAACTGTTAGTGTTAAGCTAGACAGTAGTGAACATCAGATACACTCACCAAGCTGTGTGCAGTGGTGCACACCTGTAATCCCAGTGATCGCAAGTTCAAGGCCAGCATCAGCAATTTATTGAGGCCCAAAGAAACTCAGTGAGACCCTGTCTCTAAATAAAATATAAAATAGGGCTGGGATGTGGCTCAGTGGTAAAGTGCCTCTGGGTTCAATCCCCAGTACCAGGAAAAAAACAATTGTTAACACAAACACAATGAGAATCAATAGTTAAGGAAGGAAAAGGGATGAGGATGTTTGGAGACAAATACAATGGCAGTGTTTGAATTGTTGAGTCCCATCTGCCTGAGACACTTGTTCATCTCAGTTATTCTTGAAGATTAGGTTTCCTGAGAAGCAGACTCTGAGATGACAGTAGTGTGCAGAAATTTTATTAGGGAATGTTTTTGGGAGATAAAGACCTGCAGAGGGAAGATAAGAAAGTAGGAGAGAGCTAAAGGGAAAATTGAATAACCATGTGGTCACACTAAGACTTCCACAATGCTGGAGAGAGACCTGAAGCTAGGTTGACCCTCAGTGACTTTGGGAAATATGGTTTTCTTCACTGAGACAGTCGGGAAATAAATGCTTCATTTTTGAATTTGGACCTGGTGGCCAGGCTTTAGTATTTAACCCAGTTACTTAAGACAGAAATTCCCAACACTTACTACTTCCTACTTTAAAATTAAAAAAAAAATGTAGTTGTAGATAGACAGAATGCCTGTATTTTATTTGTTTATTTTTATGTGGTGCTAAGAGTTGAACCCAGTACCTCACAAATGCTAAGCAAATACTCTACTTCTGAACTACAGTCCCAGCCTTCTACTTCTTACTTTTAAAAGAACACTTTCAACTGGATTTCTACTGTTAATTTTGAGGAGTGTTCTTACTAACTCATGCTTTT